CGAAAGAAATGAAAATGATGCTTTTAGTCCCCTTAAGTTTATTTAAAAAAGGTCCAAATATGACTATATACATAAAAGAACATTCTTTTAATGATCTTCGACATCCACATGCATTCGGTTGTTGATCCATCCTGTTGTCATTTCATAAAAAGAGGGAAATTATGTAATTTGTGGGTTTTGCGGGCGCTCAACGTATTATGTTTCGATTCTCGGCCCATATTTTAACGCGTTTCTCAAGTCACTAAACTACAAATTGTGTATAACCATTGGCAAAGCATTCTGAGCCTATGTATGTTTACATGGAAGGATTTTTGTAAATCAACAAAGATCCCGTATGATTTCTTAGCAAAGCTGGGAATTCAAGAAGTATTAGTAGGCAAGCTCATGTGAGGGAGAATATCACAAAAAGAGCCATAAATATACTTATCATACATAAAGTACAGACAACGGCGGAAAACACGTGGTAATGTGTCTATGCTTTGAGAGAGAAAGGTCTGGTTGGGTGTGTCATGAGCTTTCAATAATATATTAAAATGCCGTGCACTGTCAAACAGTACGATGCCCTGTTGTATAAATTTCAGTATTGAACCACTGTCCACTGTTTTAGACGTCAAAATGTAAATGGGGATACATGTGATATGGACTTTGCAGTACAATCCTACCAAGTAAACGTTTTCTGCTTTATGTGAGCGATGAATTACGCAAAATCTGCCCCTTGGTATCTTCAAACATCCCGATTTATGGCACAATCAGTTCTTTCAATTATAATCTCAAATGCTAACTGTGTTTTTCTTGCAGATTGTACCGTTTTGGGTAGGATTTGGCATCAATAAAAGGTTCGGCGGTTCTACTTAAAACCCTCAGACGAATTTTTAATGTAAACATATAGGGTTACCCAACACGTGCAAGTAAGCGGGATTACGGAATAAAATATACACGATAGATCGGCCTAGTTTCAGTAAATAAGAACCCCAGCGATTGGCAAACGACGAAAAACTGCCTTTCATCTGCATACTTTCTTATGTTAGCATGGATATTATAGTCAGTAAATTCTATATAATATACCACTCTCCATGAAAAGATGCTGCATTGCGCGCGTATCGAATTTGGTTTCAGATTTTTGTCTTGCGAGGGGTTTTAATTCTTCGAGATTTCCGCACTCTGGATGCTCCTGCATTCCAGACATCGTCAACAGTTTACAACAGCACTTTCGCAGAATGTGGACTTCGACATTACCAGTTTTGCATGCGAGCCCAGAAAGACCGATCTTCTGGCAAACGAAACGCCTAGAAGAACTTCTACAAAGGCTGAGTCTCACTTCTAAACTTAGACATTAGCTAAACCCTTTTTTCAAAGCATAAGCTTAAATTTCTGTTGAGTGAAGTCCGTTTGAGTTCGACTAGCCCTAGTAACAAACCCATATCGAGTGACTCGCTGTGAAAACGTTGCGATAGGTATGACGATGTAGGTCGCTATCGTGGGGACAGCGAAAAGTCGCGATACCTCGCTGTGCGATGGCAGCCTTGGATATGCCTTTTATAAACAACGACCCGTATTCCCTGCTAGCCCATTCGCTTTCTCAATTGGCATACTACGTTCCCCACAAAAGAAATTTAAGTTAAGCATGGTTCATTTCTTACGTTAGAAAAAGGTTTTTATTGTAAAAAAATAGAATAAAAAAGGCTGATCTTCTTACATTCCCTCCTGCGTTTTCGATAAAAGACACGTGAGGCATACGCTGGGTCCTAAACGGAGGAATTAAACTAAGGGGACTGTGACATTTACCGTCACTATCGTTTGGTAGTGAACCGGGCCAACACCGCCATTTCTGTTGTCTGAAGTCTCGAAGCATTCGCTTAGAGTTCTGTTGCCTGAAGACTTCGGACATCTAAACGCCTTAGACCCTCTCTTGATTGCGTCTGTCTCCGACTGCGATCCTGGACACTGGCGCACAAAGACATGGGAAATGTAGAATTATACGATCCATCAGTCCCGTGGGATGAAAAGTGGGGCGAAAAGGGAGGTCGATCGTCCAACCCCGCCTCACGAGGCAAACGCCTAAACCCCTCGGCCATCGACGCCGACAGGATGACCTCAAAGAAAATTAATTGTGTTGACCCCATAGTTGGGGGATATGTCAGACTTGGCGATGAACATAGTGCACTAGCAACTCTACGTGGACCAGCGTCAGTTCACGTCGGGCAGGGAGGATCTAACGAATGCAATACGCCAGAAGTGGCTCAAAGTAGGACTGCGGTTCCCCGAGACGCAAATTATCCCGGCAAATTCGCCACGCCTACACAAGATTTTCTACCAGATGCTGAACCTTCAAATTATTGTGCTTGGTGAAAGTATTGTCGAGATCTCGCGCAAAACATTATATCGTTGTAGACGAATATGAATCTCCTCATAGATCTAATTGCATTGTTACCAAAGTATGATAAATGCAGGTCAACTGATGAATTCAGTAACAGCCAACAGATAGTTTCGAAACTGGCAGAGTTGACAAACAGCAACCCGCTAATAGAAGGATCACCGTTTCAGGAGATCGGTGACTGCGAAAAAAAGTGCTAGGGGAAGAGGTAAACGACAACACGAGCATACAGCCTCACCCTCACCAACAGCGGTAGTAAACGATACTCCAAAATCGTAAACTAAGTTGGCAAGTGATTATGGCAGTGCTCACTCATCATTGATAACAACCCAGCTGATGCACAATGACCAGCTCAGTGGAAAAGCAGACGCTGTCCGATCTCCAACACAAAAGAAGGTAAAGGATTCGACATAGAAATGACTACAGTATGGGCGGAAACCTGCAAGAAGATCGCGGAGAATATGACAAGGCATGATAATGATCCGCCCCAGAAGAACAGCAACCAGACGATCACCGCTCCCCGCAATGAGACCGAGGAGAAGCAGGCAATTAATAATAAGACTCAGACCGTTCACATGCAACTGAGGTCACATCGAAAGAAGAAGCTAAATCAAAACGGAGCGACAGAAATCGGACGACTTTAGAGTACTCGAAGAAAAAAACTTCCTAGAGTGGAAAAGCAGAGCTCGTCTGAGCAATCGGCAGAAACCTCCAGCGCCCGCGTAGACACAGACATGGCGAATGCAAATGCCCTCTTTATTGAAATAAAAGACAGGAGCAGTATTGCCAAAAACACGATACCATTAGTTCACGAAACACTCCCTAAAGTGGATGGAAACCAGAATATCGTCATGAGTGCTTTGCCAGGAAATCCCAAGTCACCAACATCACTCGACAAAGACAAGCCGCTCCGCGAACAGTGCCTGGTAATGCAGGGACATCAGGAGCCATACGCAGACACTTCTAAATAACGCGTTCTAGCTGATCTCGGCTTGTTCAAAGGTCTTCTAAATACAGTGCTTCAACCGAACGAAGACGTTTCAGTGTTAAAAGTCTTGAGACTCGGAAAGCGCACAACTGAATCCGCTATCCCACCGAATCCTAGGCCCCTAAAATTGTTCTCGGTTGCGAAGAACATGTAGATCTCCTCCTCTCAAGACGTTTTAAGTTAAAATGATTGCACCAAGGAGTTTTTTCAGCCGGATTACACACCATCGGAGCGGATAAAATGCCGAAAGTTAGTCCAGGAGCTAAGGCTGCAACAAAGGAGTGACGAACAAAGCCTGGTTATCTACAACAACTGCATAATCGAGCGGCCGGCCCGGTTTGTATAAACACGGCAAGTGCGTATGTCGTCACAGCTTAGGCAAATAACAAAGGCGGCGATATAGCCGGCTCACTAAAGGCAAAAACGCTAAAATGCTTATATTCCAATGCGCAAAGTTTGCTAGCTAAATTAGATGAGCTTAAAATCTACGTTAAGCAAACCCTACCCGATGTAATATCCAAAACTGAAACGTGGCTTTCCGTGATAGTAGACGATCGCGGAGTCGCATTATCCGGTTTTCCCTTGTTCAGAAAGGACAGCTGTGGACGTCAAGGTGGGGGTTTTACTCACATATATCAACTATGGCCATTTTGCGTCAGAAAAAGGAGGACAGCTCGCGCGCAAAACTAAGACAATTTGGCTCACCATCGAAACGCCGGGGTCACAAGCTCTCGAAATCCTGACGGTCTACCGCCCACCGAGGAACGACCCACAATCAGACATTAGTCTAATAGACGAATTAGAAGAGATTTCTACCCGACCCAATATCAAGATTATGGGCGACTTTAACGATCCGAATATCGATTAGAATCTGACTTCTGCCCCAGGCTCAGAATCTAACTTTGATCGCCGCCTCCTACAAGCAGTGCAAAGATCTCATCTCACACAACACGTCTCATCTCCAACCAGACTACGTGATGGGCAACTAGCCAACTGTTTAGACCATATATTGACAAAGGCACCTGAAAGCATTGATCTCGTAAACTGTTTACCTCCTCTCGGAAAAAGCGACCACGTAGTCTTACAGTGGGAGTATTCTCTTTTCTCTGTACCTGATCAAAGCATCGTGATCAGACGCAACATATGGCGTGCTGACTTCAACCAAATGCGTCTCGACATGCGTCGTAGAGACTGGAAAGCAACATTCACGGGGTATGTTCTCAAGGACTGGTTAGAACTTAAAGGCGTACTGAAGGAACTTATCATTAGATTCTGCCTATGTCGCAAAAGAAAATCACCAGCAGGTCCCAATGGCTAAAGGATACACTAAAAGTTGAAGTAAACCGTAAGCAAAAGCTGTGGAAAGCATATCTCAGGGATAAGACAGTCGACTCAACGAATAGGTACAAGGCTCATCGGAATAGGGTAAAGTGCCTTGTTTACAAAGACCGCTAAGACTTCGAGGGTAACATTTTAAGCCGTGCAGGATAAAACCCAAAGCTTTTCTTCGACTACATAAGACAAAGTACTCGCAACAGGGATCCTGTCCCTATGTTAAAAAGGGATGATGGCGTTCAATGTTACAAGGACGACGAAAAGACTGAGCATATATCTAGGTTCTTCTAGTCAGTTTTTACGATGGAAGTCGCTGTACCCGCCGATCACTATAATGTGGACGATGTCCCGAAAATTGACCCAGTGGTTCTCACAAAAGCTATTCTTGAACAAGAACTACTGAAGCTAAAAGAAGCGATATCGCCCGGTCCTCATGAAATACCAGCAAATTTGTTGAAGGAATTAGCCACAGAATTGGCAGAACCTCTGGGTCTCCTCTTCCAGGCCTATCTTGATGGAGGCAGACTGCATCCTGAGTGGAAGACTGCGTGGATTTCGCAGATACATAAAAGTGGCAGTCGCGCTTCCGCAAACAACTACCGACCGGTAAGTCTTACCTCCATGTGCTGCAAAGTTATGGAGCAAATTATTACTCGTGAGTGGATGCGGTTTTTAGAGCAACATCATCTTCTATCTGATGCACAGCATGGGTTCCGCAGTGGAATGTCCGGCTTGACCAATCTACTCTACTTTCTTGAACAGTGGGCACGAGCGATTGATGAAGGATACGTGGTGCATTTAGTGTATATATACTTCAAGAAGGCCTTCGACAGCGTTCTACGCCAACATCTCCTATGCAGGCTGAACCGCATAGGGGTGAGAGCCAAGCTTTTGAATCTGATTGAAAACCTTTTGATCGGTCGGTCTCAAACTGTCCGTCTTTTTGGCCTGCAATCGGCATAGGTGACGGTTACGAGCGAAGTACCTCAGGGCTCCTTTCTTGGCCCTATCCTCCTCCTCATCTATATTGTTGACTGCATCCATGGTTTGGACTGCGACATTGCTATGTTTGCTGACGATATAAAGCTTTGGACCCTCATCGGCAACCAGGACGATGGAACCAATCTCTAGGCAAACTTTGACCGACTCGAACAATGGTCAGGCCAGTGGCTCCTCCCATTTAATGTTAGCATATGCAACATTCTGAGAATTGGAAGAGTCGGCTCTGCGCACGGGAGGACGTACTATCTAAATCACACACCGCTGCTAGTGGTAAAGCTTCAGAAGGATCTAGGTGTGTGGATAACATCTTCACTAAGGCCATCATTCCACTGCTTGAAAGCAGCGAAATCCGCAATGTTCAGTTTATATATCATCAAGCGGGCATTTGCGAAGTTCGACGAAGAGTGCTTTCACAAGTTCTTCGGGATGTTTCTGTGCCCACAGTTAGAATTTTCCATTCAGCCCTGAGGACCCTGGTCTGTCAAAGATCGTACCACCCTCGAAGAAGTCCAACGACGGGCAACCAACCTTGTCAGACGAAACTAGACTGTCAAATCTTGACCTCTTTTCCCTGGACTACAGGCGACTGCGTGGCGACTTAATTCAACCATTTTGAATGCTACGGGGTCAGGACTGCTGCCTCGCATCCGGCGACTTCTTTGAGCTGGCCACCACTACTAGCTTGAGAGGACATCCTCTGACATTACGTGTGACATGGGCGAGGCTGGACGCAAGGAGGTCCTTTCTTAGCCACAGAATGGTAAAGGCATGGAATGCTCTGCCTGTGGACGTCGTCATGTACTCATCCGTGAACACATTTAAGAGGAAGTTTGGCCAGTACATGGATATGTACCTCCACGGCATCAGAAACTAACAAATTTCTCCCCTGAACCACCCACCCAAATGTCCACGTTACAAAACATGCTACTGCCTATATTTAAGTAGATTTTATGCCTTTTCGTTATTTCCTGACCGAAGCATATCCGTTTGCTTCAATATTACCCGGTTCATTCAGTACCGCCTACTGACTATTGTACAATTTTGTCATAGAAGGCATTCACAGACAAATTTGTACCAGTAATAGATGCTTATTGTATGTAATTACTTACCTAATTTTCTTTGACTCTAGCCTTTCACATAGCTTTTTATGATATTATTGTAACCAAAAGGGAGTTCAAGAGCGCTCGCCTACCTTACCTTTAATAAATCTGATCTGATCTGATCTGACTCTGCCGCAAGGTATCAATGTAGGCAGGGCTGCATTATTCTGAGTTCTTCAAGGATTCTCTGGCTAACGTCTACAGTAGGCTCTCTTTTAACGAACACTACGTTGTCCAAATTTCAAATGCAATTCCTAAATTAGCATAATTTTTGGAAAAGTGGTTCTCCAATTTCTGATATTTAGCTTTAGGTCTACGTGAAAATTGCGATTATCTGAAGTGAGCTGGCAGCACGATGGACTGATTTCATCTGAGCCCAAGCAAGGGAAGGTACGATATCGGGCTATTATTGCATAAGTTGCGTCAAACGGTGTCAATAAGACTTAACCGGAGATTATAGTGTAGAAACCACTTTGGGTACGCCTAATTCAGCCATCACTCACTTCAAACGAATGGATAACTTGGTCCAAAATTTCAACTGAGCATTGAATGTGTAGAGTGAGCGCAACTCATGGGGTCAAGTAATTTCAGCAGCAGTTTTTGACATAGTAGGTGCAGTTGTAGAATCTGAACTCGCTTTTCAGGTGCATTAAGGCTCAAAAGCGGCTGAAAATGCCGCCGAATCGAGTTTTAGTTGTTGATGTTGTTAGTCGATGCGCGAGGTTTGTGCGTGAGTTCAAGTTTTGTTCTGCTGCGGCCAATAATTGGACGCCAGCATTACGATCGACGTGACGGTGTCGGAAAACTGAAAATGAATGTATACGCGGCTCATGTTATTAGCTGTTAAGGGACTTCGGTCGCTTAGCCGCGTAAGGTCATTAGATAAAGGGTGCCCTCGTATCGAAAGAAGCAGTGGTCATACTACCTTTATCTTTCTGTCTTTTGCACCACAACGTTCATTTGGGCATTTTTGCAACGTTTATATTTTTTGTTAAACTTAAAATGTGTCCTTTGATTTTATTAGAGAAGCTTGAAGTCTATTTACTTTAAGGCTCATGAAGTGATCATAAGCGTTCCTGAAACATATGTAACGGAGTCTAGGGACCTACAACAATGTACTTGTTTACATAGGAGTGCATTGCGCCTGACCTGAGTAGGGGTAGAATCTGTCTACTCGAGGCCACAATCCTCCATTGGATTTTAGGGTTAGATATCGATTAGGCTAGAGTGAGCAGTCATCCATCATTTACCGCATCAAATTCAATGAGTATTCAAACTTTTCAGGTTAGATAGGCTATAGTCTGGGAAAGTGAACAGGACTGCAGAAGGCTGCAGCATAGAAGAAGGATTACTTATCACTGAATGCTTTAACGAGAGGGAATCTTTTGAGGCCTGACGTGATTATGAAGACCTATTTTGTAAATCGCGTCCCTATCGAGTGTCTTCGGAGCATTTATTACCACAACTTGCTAGTGTGGCGTTGTTATTTCACCAAAGAAATTCTATTAGATGGCTCCTCTGTGAAGCATATAATTCGTTATTTGTATCCGAAGGTGGAAGCGATAACAATATTCAAAGAAACTCTCAGTTTGTGCCTCATTTATTCCCTGTAGTGGAATTCAGACGCTAGTCTGGGAACCTACTTCATTGCCTGAATACTTCCATTTTCTTTGTGATAACCGCCATGAAGCAGGCAGTGAGAGTGGTAGATGAATATCAACAGGTTGACATTCAGAGTGATCAAATTAAACAGGTCTTTGGCGCACCCTATTTTTAGCTCGAAATTTCATTTGGGGTTAGAGAAAATAAAGCGTGCAGATGGATATTCAACGTCAATAAAAGCGCGTAGGTGTCGTAAGGCTATCTCTTAGGAAGCCAAAGACATCATAATGATAGAATAGCTTCCAGGTAATCTGAACTAAAATCCAAAAATATGATCGAATGTAAGGGTAACATTTGCATCATCAGTCTACGTATTTCAGTGCAATATTTTCAATCAAAGGGGAAACAACAAGGTCGGTTACAAACATAAAGTCGTCTAGACGTCGTACAAGACGCCCCTACCATATTCGAAATCAAATGTAAGCGATAAGTTTTCTAGGCGGCCTCGTCATCTTTCTAAAGGACGAACAATTGACGCTCTAAATATTTACTTTTCACTAAAATCTATAATTTGTTAAGCAATATGTGTTTTTCGGACAAAACAATTTTGATTGTCTGTTCGGGAATTTGGGGTCCAGCGGCTTATCACTCGTGCGTGCGGTCTTTACGGTTTTTACAAGATTAACATTGGTTTTCCTGATGCCATATTTCTTAAGAAGTTGCTGATATCACAGAACCTCGTGTAGAAAATGAAGTATGACTCTCGTGGATACTGCAGCGATTTGCTATAACGTCTGACCACAATAGAAGGCATCACAACTGGAACATGGGATCTTGTAGACAACACCTTTTCTATCGGGATAGCAAAACCTGTCTTTAGGGTGTACAAGCTGTGTACGCAAAGTGGTTGTAGGTTGGTGTGCTACTTTTATCTGATGCTTTTTCAGCTGTCTTTCGACGAGCTCAGATACACTTTTTTACGAAAGGGAGGGTCCGCCAGGTGAATGTTTTTGGTGCCTGGGTGGCCGCTGTTTTCGAAATACCTTTCTGTCTAAACTCATGTTTTATGCAATGGTGCACAAAGTGACGCGGTACCCATTGTTGGAAAATAATTTGAAAAGGTATTTCACTTCTGCTTGGTAACTTTCTTCATCAGAGCAGTGTGTTTTAGCTCGGTTAAGCAGGCAATACACCTCCTGTGAGAGACGGGTTGGTTACTCTAAAAATGTAGGGTGACCTCCGAATATGTTTCTTTGCGACAAACTGAAGTGTGAAGGGATCCATCTGTTTTCGGCATACAAGGACATCCAGAAATGGGAGTTATCCATCAATCCCTGTTTCAAAAGTGAACTTGATTCCTGGAAATGCGGAGTTAAGTGTCGTGTGAAACAGGTCTAATTGGTCTTTCTTGACCATGACAAATGTGCCATCAGCATTGCGCAGCCATATTTTTGGGAACAGCTATAGACGCAGTTCTGTATTACTGCTTCTGCTGGAAAGCCAGATATGGGCGAACTTATAGAAGCACCTTTTAGTTGCCAGAGACATTGTTTGGCAAAAGAGAATTTGGTTTCTAGGCAAACATCGGGTAGTTAGAGTAGAACGTCGGCAGGCACATCAGTGGTGTATGTCTGAAGGAGTTCTTCGGTGCAGTGTCTCGCTAAATCTAATGGAATCGATGTGAAGAGGCAGACTGCGTGGAATGAAATCATTATTTCGTCGGTTGCAACATTCATTCCTGTTGATTTGTTTAAATACCCATTTGAATCTTCAATGGAGTTTTCGGACTTCTTTGTATGTGGATGTAGACGGTGAGATGGTTACTTAGATATCTTGCAGTTTGATGCACCAAGTAAGGAGAATATCGGTCGCATTGGAACACCCATTTTGTTAGCTTTCGGAAGTCCATATATCTTGGAAGTTGTGGGTTCGTTTTGTTTTAAGGATTTGGCCAAAAATCATGAGATTAATTTCTTTTCTCTAAGGCGCTTTAGTGCTTTTTCAATGTGTGGATTCTTTGATTTTGTAGGGTCAGCATTCAGGGGTTTGTAAGTGAATTCTTCCACCTACGACGAGCTGAGGAACCAGTCGTGAAAACTGACGCATTAAAAGTTATTTCTTTCCCAAAGAATATTACACTTATGTTTTTACGCAGATGAAAATCGAAAAAGTACCTAATAAGAATATGCTGTGGGGTTTGCAATTTAACCCTTATGACGATCGAGGTAAAATAACCACGAATATTAGTCAAATCACCCTCTTTAACGAGAAAGGTAGTTAGATGGGTTAATAATGCTGTTTCATGTGAAACAAGTTTATATCTGCAACATACAACTGTAATAAAATTTGCTGTTCCACAATACCGACGCTAGAATGAGGCAAGATGGATAGAGCTTCGAGAGTATACCGGCGGTCGGTAGGTGATTA